CCCCCATTTATATTACACAATTGATCCAAACTGAATTGGGTGTTTTTTTATTTTTCTTTCTCGTATTTATTCAACATTTATAAGATTCATTTGATTCTTTTTGTTTGTTTTTTTGCCTCATATTGATAACATGTGTTAATCATATGAACTTGAATTCTTCGATAAAAAGCAATGAATAATGTGTTACTGAAAGGTATCTGAATTGTTCGTGTAAAGTTTCATGATGGGCATCTTTTTCTTCTCTTTCCCAATTTGGTTTCTGTTCTTTTTCAGTAGGAGGGAATGTGTTACACACATGGGGAGAGAGAGAGAGAGAGAGAGTTTAGGCTTGGATTTGTCACCACCGCAACCAAAAGCCTGTGGCTTAGGTTTCATTGTTTCATTTACAAGAATGCCTTTCCCTCTCTTTCTCTCTCTCATGTTGGTGATGACAAAAATAGAATAAAAGTATAGAAAAAGCCCAGTAAGGAACTGCACTTTTCATATGAATCCACCTCCTGTCCTTTTCTCTTTTAAATAACAATAACATGCTTCTAAAAGATGTTTCCTACTTGGCCATTATTGTTCTTTTCTTTGCTTCCTCCACCTCTTTTTTTAGCTACTAGTATACTCAAAGACAACTAATCACCCCCTTGTGGAAAGTTATCTACTGCTTCTGGGCCCACAATTCTTACAATGCACCTCTCCATTTTGGATATTCTCACAGCCTGTAGATTCAACTTTGCATTCACTATAGTTTTCAGTTACCATCATCAAGTTGATCTTAATTAATCTAGTGGTTTAGATTCAAAATTCATTCAGTCAGTTATATAGTAGATCTTTTGATACAATCAAGTTTTCTAACTTATAGTACATATTATAGCTTTCCACCTAGCCATATATAACAGCAAATAATCTTCCTTAAGTTACTGATAGCCAAGCACGATTGTTTATTGTAATTGTCATGGACCACAAGGCAGGTATATCTGACAAGGGGTACATTAAGTCAATGGTTGTTTTTTTTTTAAGTATTGATTTTTTTTTCATATATAAGAATTTCGAGTTACGTAATCCGAAATAGCTCTCTCTCTTTTCATATATATTTTTCAAGAATGTTCCAAAAGATTTTAATTATTGACTTATATCTAACATAATACCTAATTTGATTTCGTAGTTTTGGAAGTGCTATAGGAATTAGATCTTTGATGAACCAGGGCTAAGCTAATTAAAGTTGTGGTATGAACTGAATGTCAGCACAAAGTTGGCGATAATATCCAATTAAGGTGTAATTGAAGAAGACAAACGGCGTTGTAGTCCTTGTGTTATGGCTTTTTTTAAGCAGCATTAGCTGTTCTTAAGTAAGAGTTTCGTGTCTGTCTACCTCACACAATAAGAGAGAGAAAGAAAGGGATGCAATAATTTGTGAGGTTGCTATTGACTGTGCCAAGTTGAGCAGATGTGCTAATTTAGGAGTTGAGTCAATTCTCTTTTGCTAAATAAAAAATGCAAGTTGTGAGGTTATGGAATAATATGCCAAGCTGTGTAGCTTGCTATGTGTTTTAGTCAATTCATGTTATAAAATATAAGGAAACTTAATTTTTAGAAATTATATTTTAGAGACTTAGAAATCTGGGTTTTTAATTTTAAGCCTTAATTAAGGCATCTGCCAAAAAAAAAATATAGTTTTAAGGCATTTGACTAAAATTTTGTATTTCAATTTATTGAATTAACTTTTCAGTTGTCAGGCCTAGTAACTTAAAGAGTAAACAAACAAGTAATAAGTTGAAAATATATAAAAGGAAAAAGATAAATATAGACTATTATCTACTATATATGTCATATAATGGAAAATAGCGTGGTTAAATATTAGTTGTACTGACTT